AAAAATGCTGTTTTGAGAAAATCGAAGGTAAAGTTTTTGGACCCATGAAATCCATCTATGCGTATTTGTTTTCAAATGAATTCTTCTGTGGTTTTGCATATGAGTCAGTTATGACGTTGTCTGTCGTATACGTGTGAATTACTGACAATTGTTTTACTCGATTAAAAAGATATTAGACAAAAAGTTGGGTTGGCTCAGTTGTGCAAATATACAGATGACCTTTTTGAAGCAAATCTGGGGGCGAAATGGCCTATCCCATCCCACATATTAATATAGCGTATACATTTCTATCTGGACTATTCATGCAATGAAGTATACAAGGTCTATCCCCTGTACAGTGGGCTAACCCACCAAGCTGGTCAACTCTCTTTCATTTGGTTAAGTGGTCTAGCCTATCCACGTGAGCATTACATTTTAAGCATTTTCTACCAAATAAATTGATACTTTTTTTTGGAACAGTACTCAAATGATACACTACAGGAAAAAATGGGATGAAAAAAACTTACCTGACATGAGCACATCGCAGACTTTGGGGTCATTTTCACAGCAACATGCCTGTTGAAATACTTTTAAAAGTCTGCGTTTTCTCAAAAGGACAAGGGGTGTTTTCTCTATAACAAAACAAGTATACACACCAATGAAACCAAACTTCTCCTATAGGTAAGGCAATACCCACTTTCTTTGGTGTAGGTCAAGATATTTGAAAACCCCCCGAAATCTAGGTTAGTCCGCTTGTCTTTAAAAGCGACCATTTCTATTAATATTCTTGTTTTATCTCCATCATGGCGGTCAATTATGACGTCACAGGTGACGCGACCCCCATGGACGTGTGGGACTTCCGGGGCTGGCCCGAGGACCCTCACAACAGAGGTCTCTCAGAACCCGCCGTGCTCACCCCTCACTACATGAGGCACGTGTACCCGGACCCCAAGTTTATCGTACTCATGAGGGAACCCGCCGAGAGGTGAGTGGGGGAAGGGGGGAGGGAGTGAGGGGAGAGGAGGGGGAGGAGTGAGGGGAGAGGAGGGTGGGGAGAGAGTGAGGGGAAAGGAAGGG